AAATTCTAATAAGTTTTATCTCTTATGTGTATGAACTTAAAACTTTTTATAACTTTATATTAAGTAAAATTAATACCTTCTCAGCTTCGCATCGAAGCTAAAATTACTTTTTCGACTTTAAAAAGTAAAAAAATATTAATAAGTATAATTTCTTATGTCTTATGAACTTTTTTCTATGTCAATTAAATTATAAAATATTCATGAAAGTCAGTGTATTGCCCTTTTAAGATATTTTAAAATAAAATAAAGTACAAAACTCAGGATTTTAACACAAAAATAGCATATTTTTGAGCACGGTAGCCATTTGAGCATAGAAGATAGGTCTTCGGGACAAATTTTTTTTTTAATTTTATAGTACACGACAAAAAGCTTTAATTTGACATATGTTAAAAGGACGCAGTATTTCTGGAACATTTTCAAAAGTTAAGTTGAAAAAATAAACTTTTTGTGCAAAAGTCACTACTTTTAATATAGCCTTTACCTGTTACTCTGTGATCAGGTTAAGGGTCAGATTATAAATAAATATATACTTAAAGAAAAGTTATTATCTTCTTCTTTTAGCTTTTTTACGGGCCTTTCAGGCCCATTACCGCAACAACCATCTGCCCCCACTCACCTCTATCTTTTGCCGTTTGTAGTAATACAAAAATAAGCAAAGGGTTGTTATGGTATTTTTGACCAATGTTGGATATTTGGGGATTTGGTCAATTCTGGAGTAACGAAGTTCTATCGGGGTTGTAGAGTCCAAGGGTTTAGAATAATAAAGACAAATAGATATAAAAAGAAATGATTGAAGTTCCTCTTTATTGTGGAATAAAAAACTAATTAATTCATAAGCACCTTTACAAAGGACACTGGGGCAACGAGGTGGTAATTCGACCCACGAATACCCAGTCGAATTGTCTATTAATGCAGTCAGATACACATTAGGTTTTCACACTCTTTTCAGGTACGGGGCGGTAATCCGATCCTCGAGACCATGTTATTTGTATATGTATAAAGTGCGAATGAATTGGTAAAATTACTAAAGAGAATATTGATCTATTGCTTTACCATTCTTTACTCAGAATATTAATTTTAAACAATTGGGATATTATAAAATTACTTACTCCTTTTAGGTAGCTTGTTTAAAGATCGTCAATAATTAAAATATTAAATATGTAACTCTTTCTTTTTATTGTTCTATTTTGCGCACACGAAATTTATTTAATATATCTTTTCTAATAAAAAGTCTAGACTCAATATAATTATATTTTAATATCGTGTTAAAGTATACCGACAACAGGGGATCGCGGTTAATTGAGAAAAATGCACTAGACAAGAGAGTTCTGAATTCTATATTGAATTCAGAACTTCAAAAGTAAAAAGATCCTTCTTTCTGAAATTCAGCGTCTTTTTATATGTATTTTAATCTATCTATCCCCTATCTTGGGATATTATCGTCAGCGCTTTTAGCGATTTTCAGTTTATTGTGTAAAGTGGACATAACATGATAATTATTTTAAGATATGATACATAATATTATAATAATCAATTTAACACATATATACATATATGATAGCTAATACAACAATGTATATGTTATGATAGATAAATTAATTATTTGTTTGTATACAATTAATATAAAATACAGATTATAAAATATATTTTTCGTTGATAAATGTCTGATGCGTAATGTAGAACATTAGTTACATTACAACACGTTTCTTCCGCATTTCTTACTCCCAACATCTTCAAGTCTTCTTTTATTCTATCTGTCCATCTTTGTCTGGGTCTCTTTATATTTGGTTTCCAAGCGGTTACTTGTCCAATTAGTCCTTCCGATTTCCATACATGTCCGACCCAACCTATTCGCAGGCTTTTCAAGGTCCCCCAACAATGCTAGGTTCATTATTTAGTTCTTCCAAGTTTTAATTGCTTCTTATTTCATATTCTCCTTCATTGTTTCTCTCTGGGCTAAATATCTTCCTCAACACCTTTCTCTCAAGTAGTTCTAACTTTATTTCATCAGCTTTTGTTGTCGGCCAGGTACTGCTTGCGTATAAAGCTACTGGTTTAACCAAAACTTTATATAAGATTACTTTGGATTTTCTTGATAATAGTTTTGACTTGAACATTGGTATCAGTCCATAGTAACACCTGTTTGCTGCGATGAGCCGTCTTTTAACTACCTCATTCGCGTCATCGTTGATATCTGCACCTAAATATTTAAAATTTCTGACCCTTTCGAAAATGTGATCATTTACTTTTAAGGAGTCTGTTCTGTGATTTTGTCTAGACCCTAACGTGTATTTTGTCTTTGTCTCATTAATTCTTAAGCCAATCTTTCCCCCTCCTACATTAACTTTTTGTGCAAAAGTCACAATTTTTAATATATCCTTTACCTGCTATTCTGTGATCAGATAAAGGGTCAGATTATTAATAAATATATACTTCAAGAAAAGTAATTATATAGTGTATTTTATAATAAATATTTTAACTTAATCATTTTTCAAAAAATTATGGAATTTTTAATAAAAATAGTTTAAAAAATGTCGAAATTTATCGATTTTAAAAATCGTAATTTTTTGGGGGATTTCCACCATTTACGAGGAAAAAGGGAAAAATATTTAATTTTTGAGAGTAATGTTGAAAGGTTACAAATATATAAAAATCAAATTAATTGGCCGCAACAAAAAATTTGTAACTTTCATGGCGTTTTACAAAGTTATAAGTAAAGGGTCGCCAACCTACTGGGCGAGACAGTATATTGCCGGACCACAGTAGGATTTTAAAAAAATTTAACTTTTTTATATTAAAACAATTAGAAAAAAAATATATAATTAATAAATATTAAAGTTGATGTCCGTTGAGTCGTTGATAGTAGATGTACACCAGAACCTCGTGACAGTTGTCACATAACCATATTAATGAGGGATGACCTTATACAAGGCCGTTGCCCGTACCTTATAAACTAGGGGAGTTGATTTTTGAAAGGAGAAAAAAAATACACGAGTCCATTGAAGATGGAACACGCAAAAAAAAAGAAAAATATGATGGTTCAGTTAAATTAAGGGGAATTTATTAAAAAAAAACAAAAAAAATTAAGTTAACACGAGGCAAAAAACCGAATGGTCAAAAAACATCGTCTACAAATTAAAGGGGAACAAAGAAAGAGAAAAAAAAACAGATATTAATAAAAAAAATATTTACACCTACACTTTTGTTGTTAGAGAATACGATGAACGTCTTCGGGTACCCGCCGGCTATTAATCGCAGCATTGCCGCTAAGCAAGGCGGGTATACGCCCCAAGTAAGCGACTAGTTTTTGGCAGTTAGGCTTAGCTTGCAAGACGTTGGGACACCCCGGAATAAAATGCACTACGTCACCACATTGTACCAATAATATATTCATCACCCAATAAAAAAAATAATATAAAACCTTTAAAAAAATATATATATAACATGACAGGTGGTCTTGTACACGCCTGTCATGTTGCAGGACCTAAATAAAAAAAATATAAGGGCACCTATACAAAAAAAACTATAAAAAAATTCGCCACACGTGCTTATGGCACGGCGCACTAAAAAAAAAAAACTGGCTCAAAACATTAAAACAAAAATATACATTACCAGCCCCTAAGGGCTCAAGAAGCTGGAGGCAGGTTTAGCCGACGCCATTAAACACAAAATTTACATAATTAACGAACAGGGAACACTCACGTAAAAAAATGTATATATATATAAAAAAACAGTTGTAGCGCACACAACAAAAATTACGACCGCTACGGACGAAAATTAGCGTACCAGTTCCGACGATGGCTAATTTCCGACAGCCCGTCCGACGTTTTACCCGGCGGTCCGTTGGCGACCAAACGGCTAGCCTTTAGAGTAGGGGTAAAAAAATAACTAAATACCCAGTGCTGGAAATTATTAAAAACAATTTAAATCATATGGCGACAATATATGCGGTGAGCAGTGCAAATGACGTTCAAGATAGGAAAGGAGCGGGGTGAATGTACACACAAATGCCGTCCATGAACCGGTCTGAAGTAGTACACAGCTGACTATCTCGCACGCGCATAAACAAATCACAACACCTTATCATGATAATTTTACCGACAAACGCCGTCGCAGTCCGCATTCGGCTCAACACAAATATATATATATATACAAATAGACAAAAAAATAAATAGATATTTTTGTCACGTTACAATGTCTTCAACAAGATACGGTTCGTAATGTTTTAACATATCGTTAAGAAAAATATACCCAGTGAGAGCTGAAAAAAGTAGTGACACATAAATAAAAATAAACACATCATGGTAAAATTATTAAATATCAAATTCATACTGTATTTTATTTCTATAATAAATATTTATTCATATATTATACCAATTAATCATAAAACGTGTAATCAGGAAATAAACAAGGAATTAGGAATTAATTTTGCTTTTGGAATAATCCACCGATTTCTTAAAATTGAACACTACTTAGAGATTTTCATCGAAAAGTTTTTTATGGTAATGATTTTTATCACTATCAAATATCATTTATACTTGTTACCACTGTGCCGTGATTTCACTGTGCTGTTTTTTTTTTAATACTATAAATTAACGGAATTGAACGTAATAAATTATGATAGAAACTTTTATATATTTTCATTAATTGTCGAGAAAAATTAATAATGATATTTTGATTACCTGTGTTTACGGTATTAATATTTTATAGATATGAATAATGTAAAAATCAACAAGATTCTATTGTTTTTGGTTGATGTTGATATTAATACATATTAATTAATCAACTGTTCTTTTTAGATGAATCAATAAATAGATAAATAAATTACATTTTGTAGGTAGAGAAATTGAATAAAGTGGACGTTGAAAATATCTACGCTGAATTCTGTAAGGTTCACAAAGACGGAAATGGTCTTATTGATAAGGAACAATTCATTAAATTAATTTATGAAATTGAATACAGTGATCTTATTAGAAACGTAACTTTAAATTTATTTTAAAATATTCGTAATTATTTACATACAAAATACATCGCCAAAGATTTTTGTCCCTATAATGCAAAAATAATACAGTTTTGATAAATTTTGAAAAATTAATTTTTAAACTAATAGAAATGTAATCACAAGAATTTTAACCGAAAAATTCAGTGTTTCTTACAATATATATATAATATATTATTTCTCATTTTTTATTAACTCTCACTGCTAAAAAATTGTGATATCCATTAGCTTATTTCCAATTCATTCAACTTTACCCTAGTTATGACAAAAAAAAATTTAAGAAATTAAAAAATTAGTTTATAGATATTCTTATTCAATTAAATACATATTATTGGATTTTGAATATTTTTATGTATAATTTATAAGCTTTTACAAATTATTATCACATTACATTTTATAGCATAAGATATTTTCTATACTTTTTCAAAAAAATTCAATGATTTTAAATATTAAATATATTATATTTTATAGATAAAAGATAATTAGATTAATATAAATTTGTTGGGGTTACATAATAATAAAATAATATAAGTTCAAATATTTTTTATTGTTCATTTTATATAAATTATTCATTAATATGTTGTGAATTTTAGCAAATGTTATACAGCGTGTCTTAGATCTAACTGACTACACTTATCTAATATATTAAGAAAAGATGCATTATTGAGACTGTTTGGTTCTTTCTCTCACTCATATGAAACTACCGTTGACTTCTACCTCTTTTCAACACAAATTGCATGTGTATAGTACTACAATGTCACCAACTTACAAATGTAATATAATTCGGGTTTAAATCATAAATTAATCATGTTTATCCAAGAAAATTACGATAGAAAATGGATACATGGGTTAAAGCTAGTAACTTATAATTGTTATCAGTAACATCTAAGACACTATCTGTATGCACCAGGGTTAGTATGTTTCAAACACTTAATGTTTAAAACACCAAAAATATAAAAATTTATATTGATTTTTTGGAACATTTGAAACTGTTTATTGAACAGATTTTTTATTTAATAAGTTTTTTAACAAATTTGATATACATACTATTACATATTATGCTCAAAGTCATCATGTTACGGAGGACTCAGATTATCATTCCTATATTCGTGATTGACAGCTGTGTCACCAGTATAGATAATAAAGCGAATTAGTTGACCTTCTATCATCTCTGTGCTTCTACCTGTAGAAGTGTATAATTATTTATAAAATGTGTAATAAATTATTATTAATTATTTATTTAATTAAAACGTGGCATAACATAACCTCTTTTTTTAATGAGGTGATGAATAATTTTGCTATTTGAGGTGATAAAAAACCTTTATGATAAAAATCATTATTTGTGAAGAGGCTAATTAAAATTTTTCGCTACCAAAAAATAATTTTTTATAACAAAGCATAAAATTTTGATAAATTTCTGAGTTATTAAGTATCAGTACCCATTTGAAAGCCAATAGTTAATTTATTTTTCTACGTAAGCGTATTACAATAAATTATTTTGTGTTATTTAGGCAGAGGCACTGGACAAAAATGACAATGAAAGTAACAATGATATTTTGCTTGATTTTAAGGAAGATATTAAAAATTATTGTAATTATTTAACAAATTAATGTAAAAAATATATTTTTCTTTTAATATTAATGTATTTTTTAGGTCATAAAGAGTTCAATTTAGCTGATGTATTGTACATGGTATTATTACACAGGACAAAATTTAAAAAAACAGAATTTGGTTATAATATAGATAATATTTACTGGCGTGATCTATATCAGAAAATCAATGACCAATTTAATGTTAAACAAATCGATGATGTATAAAAGTGACATTTTTTTAAATTTTAAAACAATCATGTTTTTTAGCAAAACAAAATATTCTAAAGTTATCAAAATTGTAAATTTCAGATTCACTCATTTATCGAATTAAATTATAATCATTGCATTAATTTGATTTAAATCTAGAATTTTTATATCGTGGTCTCTGTGCTACTTATTTACGATGGGATGGGAAGTAAAAGGGGCCTTACCTCAATATAAAAATTTAGCCTCCACAAAACTAAGAAAAAATATTTGCATTCTTATACTTTTTACTGTACCTAGAAAAAAAATTACAAAATATTAATTTTGTAAAATGTTTAATTTTCTATTCCATAGAATATTTGATTAGCCCAATTATACTATTTTTGTTTAGTTTAGCAAAAATTATATCTACATTTTTTTTTAATTTCTCCAATATTTATAAAATTACCATAATTTATTAACTCATTGTGTTTTGGTGTACTTAGGCTTAACTATGAAATTAATTAAACGTCAAATTTTTATTTGTTAGTTCATAATAATAGCTGAATATAATAGTTAATGATAGATTACGCCTTAATCAAAACACTAAAAAATGTGTTAGTTGCACAAAACATATACTTAAATACATACTTAAGTTATGTCGCTAGAAAAAATATGCAAAATATCAATTTTTTGAAGTGTGTAATTTGATATTCAAAAATGTAGTTTAATGTCTAATTTAAATTTTTTTGGAGTAAATTAAAACTAACATTTAACTTTTGAAACTCGTAAAAATACGTATGAATTTCTTTTTGTTTTCTCAACTTTTGTTGTACTTATTAATAAATAACAAGGGATCAAATATGCTGATCATATTTATTTTGTTTGATAATGTTTAATAACAGTCTATTACAAAAATTTACTATGAAGTACGACTAAATTTTTTTTAATTTTTAAATCTGTTCGTATTTTTTCTTAAGTTGTGTTAAATTTAAAAAAAATTATTAAGTATCATATATTAAAACATATAACTTTATATTCAAATCATATACTTCTGTCTTAATTTATTCATTTTTAATCAGATAAAGCTGAAAACAATGTCCTAACGTTATACATTAGTTTTTATGCTTTTATTTAAATATATTGAACTTGAGAACACTTTTTTTTTAATAAGTAAACTATAGTAACTAAAAAAAAAATGAGATGTAAATGTAAAATGGTAGTACTTAATGATTAAAATGATTTAATAAAAGTAGTTATTAGTTGGTCTTGTATGAGCATGAGATAGTTTGAGTTACTATTTATTAATCTAATAAAATGATATAATATAATTTTCTTTCGGGATATGAATACGAGGGTCTTATGAGAAGATGTAAAATATAGAAAAACAAAATTATACTTTAAAATTTATTATTATAATAATAATTTATAATAGAAATTATTGTGAATAATTATCACACATAAGTTATCAATAACGCCCCACTCGTATAAGTAATTATTTAATCTTGTGCTGACTGTGAGTCTGTTAATACCTCTACCTCGAGTAGATTATTTGTCACAACTAAAAAATGTCTTATAGTTATTACATTAAATTTGTATCAATCCATTTTTAGGCATATTTCTCGGAATAGTTTAAAGGATCGACATAAATAATATATTTAATTTGATGACTTATAGACAATGATTTATAGACTACTGAATAATGACAGGTGTATGTACTGTAACAAATTTTTAATTTGTAAATCCAACACTTAACTTCCCTATAGAGAAGGTATAAAATACTTTTACTTTTGTATGAAAACTTCTCACATTGTTTTTATCATAATGTGTTTTTATTTATGTGTTCGTGAATTATATTAGCTCTCTCTGAACTGATTTTGTTAATCTAATGTAAAAAGAAACCAAATTTAATTAGACTGAATATATCGTTTCTAAATATTAATAAAACATCCTCATTTTAAAATATTTGGAAGAATAATTAAAAAGTAGTCAACCGTCGCAAATTGTAAATTCTGATTTTTTTTTTTTTGTATATTAAAATTGCTATCATTTTTTTTTTTAATTTAACAATCTAACCGCTAAGGTTCTTCTAGTGAGTTATAAATTATATAGGACCCACGTAATCCCGCTAGGGAACAGATTAGCTAATTGTTAGGACGCAAGCGGGAAAACAAGTTAAGGTAAATGGAACGCTCATTAAAAGTATATTATTTATTGTTGTTTATTTTTTATATAATACGTCATATACCCTCGCTCGATTTTGTAATTTAATGTGTACCGCGTAAAAATATAAAAAATCTGCGAATATACGTTTACTTTGTATATGTGCATATGCCTTGAAATTAAAAAAAATGTTTAAGTATTTATTATAAAGGAGAGCGGGACTAATTGATACCTGAGACAAGATTTTTTCTAAGATTAAAAAATATATTGTAATGTCTGCAAACTTTTTGTGGAGTTATTAAATTAAACAAACAATGATGAAAATAATTTAAATAAAAAGATTTATTAGTTTAAAATTACAAGTATACCTTATTTGTAAGAAAAATATTATATTGTTCTTATAAAATATAAAGTTATAACTGGAATATGAATAAACAAATCTTAACATTTTTTATTGCAATAGCTAAAGAAAAACATGACGTACAAAAAGTATTTTAATTTTTAGACTTATTCAAATTAAAAGAATTCTACGAAGACTTTTGAATAAAATGAAATAGTAATAATTTATAAATTAAATTTCTGTATTTAAAATAGTTTGCTTATAATTAGTTGAACTAGTTCAGTTACTGAAAAAAATAAGCCTAATAATTATCCAGGGACATAACTAAGGGGTNCCTAATAATTATCCAAGGACATAACTAAGGGGTCATATTGTTAATTTTTTATTGGGTTTAAATGTTTTGTTATCTACGATGCGAAGATGAGAAGGAATTGGTTTATACTGGAGTATGACCATGAAAATTCTCAGCTCTTAATTTATATATTAAGGCCGATTTTAATGATCAATACACGACGGGAACTCGATTTTATCTAATTGGACATATCGTTGCCAAGAATTGTAAAAAACCCTTAGTATTAGAAATTTAATAAATATTTTAAAATTACGCTACCAAAAACCGTATTCACCTAAATAACCTTAAATAATATTCATTTATTTCGTAAAATCTTATCTAACCTAAAAAAATTACTAATGAATTTAAATTATGCAATTTATACATACATACATATATCTATATATATAATTACACACTTGTATATTGAGTGTTCAGTATGTAAGGAAATGGGTTTCTTCTGTTCTTATTATTTGTAACAATTTACCTGTTTCCTTACTAAACACTCTATGGTATAGTATAGTCTTCAACACTCAAGGATTTTTATGGATATACAATTATTCTAAATGCTAACATTTGAAAATTAATTTATGAAGTATAAGTATTCAAAATTTTTGTTATTTATCGTCTAATTAAGAATACTCTGCAAAAAAAAAATACAATGCTATATAACACTCACATATAGTAGATAAGATAAAAATGTGTACGTTTAAAAATTTTACATCATTTACTTGTTTATCATTTAACTTAAAAAATAGTTATATTTTTAACGTGTGTTAAATTACACAACCACACAAAAAAAACTTATTTTCGAGTTCGGAAATCTGACCATGTTTACTATATGTTTTCGAAGTCACTGAATCCGAATCTGAGGTCGTAATCATCCCATCGTGTCAGGGTTTCTCATAACCTCAAAAAACCCCTTCATCGAGTCATATAACGATAAACCCTTCACATCAAACCCCTTAACCTTTTGAGATCATATCACAATCACCCCATGATACCTCGTTATCATAAGTCTATAATCATATAACCCCATAACAAACTGAACATCCATATAAATTTGCATTGATACAAATTGCCTCAGATGAACTGTTTTGTTTGACTTGGGGGCAATAGAATTATGGGGTTATGGTGTAATCAAATATAGTAACCCTACAGTATTTTACCATTAGTATATTGGTATTCTTAAAAAAAAACGTAATTTCATCATTTTTTCTGTTTGTTAATAATGACGATTATTTAGTTGAAAAAAAACCTGATTCAATAAATTCTTAAGGAAAAACTCTTTAAATATATTTACAAAATATTCTGACTTCATCATTTTTTAAAAATAATTTTTACAATTTTGGACTACATTAAAAACATACTTTTTATTACATGTATTTGTTTAGTTATAAGCATTTTAATACATAGAGTGGGTATGTAACACAGCTGTGGGACACATATACCAGAATATTTATCTATATTCACCTTTGTTATGTATCCACTTATCAGACGCAGATGTAGCTTGTGTTAACGTGAGGGTTTTTTTAATAGTAATATATATATTTTATAATTATATACAACATTTTATATAAGTTATACAGAGCGATTTTTTTATCATAATCCACTCAATTACTCAATAAAGAAAAATTTAAACATTTTTTTTTGATCTCCGTTAGTTACACATTATTCTTCTGTTGATATCGTTTTCTTCTGTCCTTTTCTCAATACGTATTTCAATGTCTAATACCGTAAAATAGTACATGAAAATTCAAATTTTCACAAACTTCAAAACGCTACAGAATATTTACTACTGAATATTAATAAGATATTTTTTTACTAAAATTTTTCTTAAATTCTACTCTACAAAATAGCTATCTTAGATTTTTTTTTTACATTTTATTTAAAATTTTAAAATAATTAATATTTTTAATAAAATGTAAAAAAATTAATTATTGAGATATAGCTATAGACCTAACGTATAAATATTATTTAAAAAAAAAATCAACTAAAAATATTAACTGGATCAAAAGTTATTTAAGTTGTCAGTGAGTGGTGGGCCACCCTGTATATTAAAATATAAATATTTTTATGAACTCATATTATTATAGTATTAATGTAGTTTGGTTGTGTTAGTAGTTAATTAGTAAGTGGAAAGCTATTAGATTGTGTAGTATCACATTTTAATAAATGTAATAATTAATACTTATATTTAATAAAATATATCACCAAATCAGTGTTCCCCCGTGGATAAGATGAATAATAAAATAATACCCTTACACAAGATTTAACCACCCTCTTACGCATTCCATAAAACGCCCACGTAAAAGATTCTATCACATTAACCAATCAAATACAGAAAAAAATATTTCAATCGCTAAACCAATTTTGCGGGCTACAAAAAGGCCATTTTCCCCAAATTCGGGCGCTTCGCTTTTCTTACAGTGGTTCTTTTACCGTGTGTTTCCTCTACGGTGGTTATGTACGGTTTCTGATCATCCCTCTAGCGGACACTGGGACGCCTTGCCATTCTATTTCTGCATCTCTACGGCTCTCTGGAACTCTCAACCAAGATACACAAAGTGAATGTGCGAGAGTTAATGTTTCATTCTTAGTTACAATTCTATATAAAATCTGCACTATTTTTACCCTCTTTCGTAATTACTGAAAATATTATACATCTTATTTTCAGTCGAATACTTTTGGTGATATAAACATTCTAACACATAAAATATTGGTATTTATTTATTTCTTTTTATATACATTTATATATATAAAAATACTGAAAGGTTACATGACTAGATTTCATTGTGTTCTATTACTTATTGAAATGCCACATCCTGGCTGGACAGAGTACTAGCACAACAACAACATAGTTAATACTCCAACTAATTATAATCGTTCTCTAAAGTGTCTCTCCACTTATCGACTAGCTAGTCTGATCTCTGCCACAGTGCGGGCAATCGGAGTGTAGGACACTTATATAATTTATAACGCATTACTTATTAATATTATTTTGCAATATACATTAGACATCCTAAGGTACTTAATTTGATTGAATTGTATCTATTACTTATTGAAGGGCCACAACCTGGCTGGACAGGGTACTAGTACAATAATATCATAAATAGAATTTTAGTTAATCTCAAGATTTCTTCAAAGTGTCTCTCCATTTATCGACCAGCCAGTCTGATCTCTGCCACAGTGCGAGCCATCGGAGTGTAGGACACTAACATAACTTATCGTGCATAAATCTACAGGGTGATTTTTTTATCATAACCCACTCAATTACTTGCAGAATAATAATAATTTAAACATTTTTTTTTTCATTATATTTAGTTACACATTATTCCTGAATTTTTAACTATGTAATACTTTGTAAGTTCATCCCTTATGCCTTGGAAGGGGTCAACTTTGTTTTTTTAAATTGTAACACATATTTTTAATTTAATAAAATGTTTGAGTCTTTAATTTAATAGTAAATCGCATTTGAATTTTTAATATAACTTAATTCGTTTATAAGATATAATCATTTAAAGTTTCAAAATTTTAAGTTAATATAAATGTATAATACACATGGGATTGTAAATACAGGTAGCTAATTGGTTTTTTATAACATCGATATTAGCAGGTACACAGCATTGTTATTATCAATTGTAGAAAGGCACAGTGTTATGAGTTTATAAATAGACTAACTGACAAAACAGAAAGTATATCTATTGATAATCATAATTGATAATAAACAATCCGTGACTGAGACAGCAATGTCATAAAAATCCAATTAACTAACTGTATTTACAATCCCATGTGTATTATACATGTATATTAACTCAAAATTTTGAAACTTTAAATGTTTATATCTAATTTTCTTTAGTTGCACATTATTCTTGAATTATTAACCATTTAACATTTTTTATGTTCATCCCTTATGCCTTATTAGGGTGTCAACTTTGTTTTATTAAATGGGAACACATACTTTGAATATAATAAAATGTTTGGATTTTTAATTCAATAGTAAATGACATTTGAATTTTTAATATAACTTTATTAGTTTATTAGATATAAACATTATTTAAAGTTTCAAATTTTTGAGTTAATATACATGTATATTACACATGGGATTATAAAAACAGATAGCTAATTGGATTTTTATGACATTGCAGTCACAGTCACGGATTGTTTATTATCAATTATGACTATCATAGATATACTTTTTGTATTGTCAGTTAGTGTATTTATAAACTCACAACAATGTGCCTTACTACCATTGATAATAACCATGGTGTGTACCCGCTAATATCGATGTCATAAAAAACCAATTAGCTTCCTGTATTTGTAATCCCTTGTGTATTATACATGAATATTAACTCAAAAATTTGAAACTTTAAGTGTTTATATCTAATAAACAAATAAAGTTATATTAAATTTCAAATGCCATTTACTATTAGATTAAAAATCCAAACATTTTATTATATTCAAAATATGTGTTCCCATTTAAAAAGACAAAGTTGACACCCTTATAAGGCATAAGGGATGAACATAAAAAGTGTTAAATGGTTAATAATTCAAGAATAATGTGCAACTATAGAAAACAAAAAAAAATGTTTAAAGTATATTTATTCTGCAAGTAAATGAGATAAAAAAATCACCTGTATAATACTCATGAAATATAAAAGAAATAAAAAATAATAAAATTGTTAATATGTGTTAATGAAGTATTGTTATTAAATATTACAATTTAAAATTAAATGTACTATAATTAATAAATTTAATAATTTCTTTAATCTTAATCCACACTATTTGAAGTCAGCTCTACCTTATGATTTAACAGGTCTATTTACACCGGCTGTCAATTTGACACAACCTCATTATGGCTGGGGGAGCTAGTATAGGAGCAAGATGTGAACTTAAATTTTGAAAGTGTTCCGGAAATACTGACACTTTTATATATATATCTTAAATTAAAGCTAATGTAATTTACTTTATTATGCAAAAAAAAAAATTTCGGACTTTATTTTGTCTTCATAGTAAAAACAGACATCAAAGTTAATAAAAAAAAAACACGATTTTGTGAAATAATTATTTTTTATATTTTTAACTTTATAATGCTAGAACTTTTTGAAAGATGTATTGATCAATATAATTCTTTTTTTTATAGATGCTTGATGTCTTTACCTATCATTTGGTATATTTTTTTTATAAATCGGACTTTATTTTATCTTCACGATGAAAATGGCTACCGAATGCTATTATTATGTGAAAATTCTCGATTTTATTTTTTACATTTTTAACTTTATAATGCTATGACATATTGAAAAGTGTATGGATCAACATTATTTTTTTATAAGAAATAATATTTTTTAATAATCCCTTTTTCATTCGACATACTTTATCTTAATTAGGGTATTAATAATGAACTAGCAGATCATGTAGCTTTTATAATAATCTACCAATTTTTTAAAATTAAACACTATCTAAAGATTTGCATCGAAGCGTTTTTTTTTTATAGTGATTTTAATCACTGTCAGATATCATTAACTTGATCCATCTATGCCACGTCACCACTGTGCCGCGACCCCACTGTGCTGGGTTTTTTTTTTATTTTAGTCTCGCGGTGTTCGCGATTATGACATTTACTATACTCAACCTTACTTATATATTTATATAAATTGTGTATTATAAAATATATCTATATATAATTTTTATATTTTACAAAAATTACTAATCATTGTATTTTTTGGTTAAATTTTAGTGTATTAAATTATATACTGGATTACTTTAAAAAGACAATTTTAGTGATAAAATTAACCACATAAAATTGTATTTTATTTTTAATTTATTTTTTACATATTCGATTTTAAATTCAAACACTAAATGATATTACTAGATAAACAATTTGAAGTATGAGTATGTGAGTTATGACGTCTAACTGTAATAATGTGATATACATTAAAATCTATTTTTTTCTTTTACAAATACATTATTATAGAATAAATAATTAATATTTGCACTACTTCAGTATAAATTGCAAAACAACGTACGTAAAATTACTCAACTAAAATTTAAACGTTTCAATAATTCTTTTTTAAGTTGTTAATATCTTTAAAAGATAAATCATTATCATGCATTTAAAAACTATACTAATCATTTGTTCAGTATGTTTTTTTACTGGCACAATGGTAAGTATTTATTTGATGGTTTATATATTTATTTAGATATTAAATATGATATATAAATATTTAAAGAGCAATGGACTGAATGCGAAACAAATACGATTCTTTCAAAAATTGATATGGCATTATGGGGATATTAGAATGATAAATCATACTTTAAAATGTACTGGTGTTAATGAAATTTACAAGTGTTATAACACTCATGGTAATTTATAATTCTTATATGTTTTAGCATCAAATTTTTTTGATAAATACATGATTTATTTTATGTAGCCGTAAATTAAAATACTTTGCTTACTTTAAAATTTAATATAACTAAAAAAATACTCAATATTAAATACTATAAAAATGTATTTATAGCTTTTTATAGTTAAAAGTTTTTAATATTAATTAACTTAAATTAATATTTTTAACGCTTTTTATCCCTACCATACTACTTATTTCCAGCAAAAAAAAATTGTTTTATTATTTGCTTTAAACTTATTAATTTCCAAATCAGTAGTTTGATAAATACGGTTTGGTTAAAAAAATGATTGGCGATGTGGAGAAGAGGGTGTCTTTGCCCAAGTTTTCACGATCGTCATGGTGAAGAGGTATAAGTTATAAAATACCAAGTTACATAGCTGTACGACTTACCAAAGATTGTAATGTGTACTGAAGAGAAAACGCATAACGCAGCTCGAACTCGACAACCCAACCGGAGTAAAATTGCTTATCTAAGCTCGATGTCACCAAACAAGTGGTTTTTGAAGAGATGAGAAAAGTAATGATGGCTAATGTATTTGTAGAAATGTTACGGTGAATATGCGGAACACTAGTTTAGTTTTACATTCAAAATCTGTATAGGATTTTCATAGTGTTACTTATGTCATATGTTGCGGGAATTTTGTATTAATATATAGTTGTATGATAAAAATTGAAGTTTAATAGATTTATAAATTTTAAATAAAAGCTCATTTTTGAGCGATACTTGAGCTGATGTTAAATGTCGTCAAACGTAATTGAAATACGTTACATGTTATAGTATTTAAATTGGATAGTGCACGATAATCCAATTAAATTATAATTTTTATTAAAATGCATAAATAAAAAATATTAATGTATGCTAGTGTCAATATAAATAGATAATTGTTAATGTCTTATGGCGAAAACGTTACGTATAGCAAATACAATCTATTGAAAAGAACGTTGCATAGCAATCCAATGTAAAAATAATTTTGATGAAATATTTTAAGTTGATTAACACTGATGTATTAATCAAAACTTGTGTTAATTAAAATGTTATGTTTTGCGATGGTCGAATGAATTTGTAAAAAAATTCTGCTAAATCATGTAAATCATGCATCACGTAAAAATTCAACTTTAATATACTAAACTGATACTTAAATTGATGTTTTACAGCGACAAACGTAATTGAACTATGTTTAAACAGTGGCGTTCGCTTTTTCCAGGGGAATAACAACGTATGCGAGTAGTTAACCATTTTGTTCATGTTCATTTTAAAATTTATTCTGTAAATTTGCAAAGTAATCGACTTTTAATTTAAGATATAATTTCGTTATTTAAAAACAAAAACCTATTAAAAAGGAAAAAATCACCAAGAATAAAGAATATCACCACAAGGCGGTGTCATAACCATCTGGCACACCCCTTAAATAAGCTATTGCATTTAGATGTTACATGTTTTGCTATCCAAACTGATTTTACATGGAGATCTAATGTAGTAATAATTTTGATTTAACGATTTGACATTAATAATGATGTGTTAAAATTTTGTATAACGTGGTGATAAGGGCTGTATAGCCGAAGTAGAACCCTTAATGGGAATAGAACAAAAAATCGAATGTTTTTATTTTAAGATTTGAGCTAAATATTGTTTAAAGTGGAGTATTGATGCTTCGTGAAAAAATGACCGTGCAATTATTTTATTAATAAAGTAAATGTACGGCGAATCACTGAGTATGATTATTGTGAACATAAAATAAAAACGAACTTTATGCTGTATTTTATATGACTAATAAATTTGTGATCTAAGTAGACTACAATATTCTTAAATTTATTTAACGATACAATTTTAGGTTTTTGTGAGTACGACACGGATCAGGAAGGTTTTTTTAATACGTCAAATGTGAATTATTACTTTGTAATGGACACGTATGACATTGTAAAGATATTTATTCAGTGCTGATAGTATTTCTCAGTTATTGATAATGTAATTGTATAAATGGGTATAAACCTAATAGTTCAGTGTATGTACGAATGATTATTATACGATGATATATACCAAACGGGCAGCAATAATGTTATACTGTGGTACGCGAATAATGAAATATATTTAATTGTTGTTGAATTTGTCTACCCGGAACACGTGTGCCGTCACGAGTGTCTGATAATGAAACGGCGGGCGTTCGATGAGTCCAACTCAGCGTAATTTATTTTCCAAGACGTCGATCGATTGTATTGATTGATTGGTTAATCTACTTGTTAATATTAAAAATCACCAACAAGGTAGAATTTTACATTTTTTGAGCTATTGACAATTTATGATAACCGGGTGGGGAATTCACTGCAAAAATTTCACAATAAGAGAAAATATTCGCATTAGCAGAATGATCTTCAATTATCGCACAATTAGAATCAGCGTAATTTTCCAATCGTATCGTGAGGAACGTTGTCGAAAAACAATAGGAAAAACGAACCGGAGATGCGGACAGTAAAGTATCACAGAAGTGACTTCCACGTATATTTGCGGCGGATGTCGCAAAATAAATTTTATTTTATTTACAATGTATTCTAGAGCACATAAATAAGAAGTACATAAGGTCAATTATCATTTTGACTACGCTTCTATAATATTTAATGCCTATTCCACAAATTTAACTTAGGCATACCATTATTATTTATATAATTGCATTACGTTTGTTGATTGTAATTTTGTAATTTTTTTCAGGTACGACCGTTTATTAAGGCATAAGCAATTTCGAATTACAAAATTTTATAAATGTTACATTATCTAACTGCATTTATTTTATATTCAGAAATAATACTGAAAAGTTAACTTTTGTTTCTAATTCAAAGAGCTCAAAAATTATTTTATAAACGTACTTCTTTAAATTTTTTAATTAATTTTTGAAAAAAATTGTGCTACATAAAATTTTAATCACTGTATTTAAGGTATCAATATTTTATAGAGGAAAAAGGCGAAAGACTTGACAAGATTCTGAACTTTTTGGTTGAAGTTAATAAGTGGGGTGATGACAAAAATGTAGAATTATATAATAATTAGTTTATTATCCTTTTACCGAAATTAATGTTACATTATTTTACATTCTTTAGGTGGAAAAGCTGGATATAAATGATGTTAAAAGAATCTTAACTCAACTCAATAAATTTTCCTCCTACAAATATGGTCTTCTATATGAAGAAGATTTCCGAAACTTCATGAATAATAATATTAACATTTTTTTAATTGAAAGCGTAATTATAAATTTATTTAAAAAAATATAATAATAATTACATAGATACGAGATATATTACCCAAGGTTTTATCCTATCTACACAGAATTGACATAGCTCAAAGCCATTTTGAATTATTAAAATCATAGAAATATATTTAAACGAATTTTAATAAAAAAAATTCAGTGTTCCTCACAGTAATATTATATACAGGTGGTCCAGCATTCACTGACAACTTAAATAACTTTTGATCCAGTTAATATTTTTTACTGATTTTTATTTTACCTTCGATTCAAAACTAAGAAGGTATTAATTTTACTATGATGATTCTTTTTTTTGTGTCCCTTATCAATATTTCTTAGCTCTCACCAAACCGATTTCTTTTAACGATACGTCAAAATATATTACACTTATAAATCATAAAACTTATAATCAGGATATAAATAAGGAAATAGGAGATAATGTTGCTTTTGGAATAAACAACAAATTTTTGTGTCTATCTAACACTATATGAAGATATTATTTAATTGATATTCATAGATAATATTTATTTCTTAAGAGATAAGACTACTTATTAAATATAGGTGTTGTTCTTGTTATTATGTGGCTACCCCCAGCCTCCTTCGTCACTAGACAGTTTGACCGTTTGTATGTCGCGTGAGTTGTTATTGTAAATTATATGTTATGTAATTGTCCACCACCATCGATCAGCTGTCTCACGCACATTATATTGTATATATTAATTGTCATTTTTCCTTTCTTTTTATACCGCCTCGTGTTCGTTATTTCAGTATTTATAATATTTTTGAAATTTTCATTATTTTTCTTTAAATAAATTATGCAAGCGCTTTTGGCGTTAGTGACCAGACATTTCTTGTCGCTGAATTTAATATTTTTAGTACAGCGTTAAAAATCAACTCTTGGTGGTTAAGTTGATCTCTGCTAACCTCCAAAGTTATTTGAATTGCCGGTTATTGAACAAGCCGGTATTCGCGCTCGTTATCATAATATTAAGTGATAACAATAATAATGATGGTCACCGACCAATGTAATAGACACTAATGTTCGATCTACGTATGCGCGTTGACAAATCGCCGTTTTACAAGTAAACTTATAATAAACACGATAGAGTCCACGATTTAATATTTGCATTTATGAATTATTTATTATATTTATTGAACTAGTTCTAAACAGCCAGTCATTGAATGTTAATAATTTTCATAGAAAATTCCATATTTATATTATATTTACTGTGAAAAGTTTGTGTTTACTTTTGTTTTTGTTATAAAACATAGCCAGCGATTGATATTGTAGAATAAATAAAGAAAAATTTAAATTTTTACAAAATTTAAAATGTTACAGAAAATTAAATACTAAACATTAACAAGAATTTTTGTTTACCAAATTATTTTTTTAAATCTATTCTTAAAAAATGGCTATTTTGAAATTTCTTTAAACACTTTTCGTAAGTTTTTAAAATCAAAATTTTTTAAATTAATTATTATTCAATAATTAAATAATATTAATTATATTATTATTACAACCATCAAGTATATTAACCATAAAAAAAAATTAACTGGATCAAAACTTATTTAAGTTGTCAGTGATTGCAATGTCAAATTATTTATGTATAATTGAAAAAATAGTTTCCCGGTATTGATTAAAATTACTATTTTGAATATTTTAGAAGGTAACACTCAACAATGAAGACATGGTAAAAATCAAAATGGCTATACGTTATTTGATAAATGATATTAACAAAAATAGTAATTAATAAACAAATTATAAATAATCTTTTTTTTTATATTTTTGTATTTTTTTAGGGAATTGGGATTATTACGATTTAGGTGATGTACTGTTAATAGTATTAAAATACAAGGCAGAATGTAATAAAACAAAATTTGGTGAAATTAATGATGATGTCATTCATGATAAATTAAACGATATTTCAAAATATTATAAAGCAAACGATTTTAAAGCATTTCACGGAGAATAGATATGTTGTATAACATTATTTTGTTAAAGTTTTCAAAAACCCATGTTTTTATCAAATATTCTAAAATTATAAAAAGTTATAACACCTACATCCAATCATGTATTGTAGTTTTTTATTGCTTAAAGTTTATTTAAATTTCATTTTTTATTTTATTCTGAACTCTGTGCTATCACTTGCTTTATTCTAATAATTTATTAGTATTAACCTCTTTCATCTATTTCTTAGTACATGTTTTAAATGTCCCAAGGTCATTTTGACATTTGTGTTTTTTGCATATTCATATGAATATTTAAAAGAAACGTTAAATAAAAAAAAAATTTGGTTTCATATTTTTTTTTTCTTAATTAGCCTTTCAACTGGAAAATGTCATAAAATTAAAATACAAATTTTTAAGAATTTAATGCATAAATGATCATTATTCTTAGACAATAGGTTTATATATCAAATGTCCTTTCCCATAGACAAATATACAGAGTGTTCAGTACTGATACTTACTGAACACTCTGTATAGCAGAATCAAGCAGTATTAAATAACCTCTTAATATGTACCTTACATATATTGTTAAATGTACAATAGGTAATATTACCTATTATGTTTATAGTTTATGCCTATAGTTTTTTTTTTTTACTGTTTCTTAACTAGGTATTTAGGTAATACATGCGCTCCCCGTGGCAACAGACATGCGCAAACCAGACGAGTTCTCGTCGGTCGAGTGGGCAAGGTTATTCTGAACAGAGAATAGTATAATCGCTATTATTATTATTATTTTAATTTCTATTTTCTACTGTGACCTTTTAATTAATAATATGTGTATTGAGTTTTATTTTATTATATTTAATTTAACAATTTTAGCTTCGATGCGAAGCTGAGAAGGTATTCATTTTACTATGATGTGTTTTTTTTTTTTGTGTCTATATACGCTCAATCTCAGCTCTCACTAAACCGATTTTGATGAAAAATATGTCAAAAGATCACAAATCGTATCTAGTTGAAGACATTACCCTCAAAAATTGAAAAAAATTCCCTCATTCCCCGTAAACGGAGGAAACCTCCAAAAAAATTACAAATTTAAAAATCGCTTATTTTCGAAATTTTTTCAATTTTTTTTACTTAAAATTGTAATAACTTTTTTTAAAATTACCAAATCATTATAATTGTTTTTTATATAGATGCATGATATCATTACCTTTCATTTGGTATATTTTTTTTTATATATCTGACCCTTTACCTGCCCACAAGGGGGATTTCAAATGACAACTTTTTTACAAAAAATTAATTTTTTCAACTTGACTTTTGAAAATGTTCTGGAAAGTCTGACACTTTTATATATATCTTAAATTAAAGCTAATGAAATTTACTTTATTATGTAAAAAAAAATTTCGGACTTTATTTGATCTTCACCACGGTGAAAATGGCTACCTAATGCTATTTTTGTGTGAAAATTTTCGATTTTGTATTTTCCAATTTCAACTTTATTATGCTATAACTTTTTGAAAAATGTATGGATCAATACAATTTTTTCATAAGAAGTAGTATTTATAAATATTATTCGACTTACTTTTTTTTTAAATCAGACCATTTCTCTATATACAGGGGGCTTCAAAATATATTGTAAATACTTTTTTTTAATAATATTAAAACTTACAAGTGATAGAAAAAGTCTAATTGCTCATTGGAAAACATCGCGAAAAGTTGATTTAGAATAGTATATTTTTGTTTCTGATTAAAGTACCTTGTAGTACAGTGTATAAAACTTATAACTATAAAAATATTTAACTTACAAAAAAAGTTTCGTACAAAAGTTCTTTAAAAGACAATTATAAACAAAAAAATTATCTTATATTTTTTCATTTAAACAAATATTTTTCGAGTTACATAACAATTAATATGAGTACTAAAATTTATATTCCATTTTTTCATTTTACGGTTACTTTTTATCATGTTATACTTACAATAGACACAATGTTATAAATGCCTATGTGTGTATGTGTGATTTTATTTATTTATTGTATCATAGAAGTGTAGTGTATATTAATATACAAGCGATAGAGTAGATAATTGATTTGACGCTATATTGTTTAAACCCAACTAAACGCTAAATTGTACATTCCCAAACAACAATCATATTATGTCAATTGCCATCGGAAGTTTCTTTTTCTTTGCCTTAATCCCAACTACTTGGGGTCGGCCACCCTTATCCTAAGATTCCACTTGACACGATCTCCCACATCTTCTACGCTCACATCAGCTGTCCTCAAATCGCATTCAATAGCATCCCTCTATCTCTTTTTTGGTCTTCCTCTATCTCTTCTTCCTTCAAAATTCATTTCTATAACTGGTCTTACAGCTTCCGATTCTACTCTCCTCATAACATGACTTAACAATCTAAGTCTATTTTCTGTCATCTTATCCACGATTAACGCAACACCTATACTTCCTCTTATATGCTCGTTCCTTATCCTATCTTCTCTAGTCACTCCACTCATCCAACTAAGCATTCTCATCTCTGCTACACTTATTCTCTGCTCTACTTTCTTATCAACCGCCCAACACTATAAACCATACATCATAGCTGGCCTCACAATTTCATACTGAATTTAAAAACTATAATTAGTATTTATTCATATATTATATTTTAAAATCAAAGAACTACTAATCAGGATATAATTAAAGAAATAAGAGTTCATGTTGCTTTTAAAATATTTCNACAGGATATAATTAAAGAAATAAGAGTAATGTTGCTTTTGGAATAATCCACCAATTTTTCTAAATGAAACACTATCTACAGATTTACATCGAAGCGTTTCTTATGATAGTGATTTTAATCACTGTCAGATATCATCTATACTTGTCTCATCTATGCCTCGTCCATACTGTGCCTCGACCCAACTGTGCTACCGTTATTTTTATACCTATAACTAGCGGTATTATATTAAAAGTCGCACCCCCACGAACCACAACTGAATGTAATTTATCATTTATATTTCTCATGTATATATATTTATATGTCATGGTATTTATACTTTTGTTTGTAAGTAACTACATATTAAATCAATGGTACATATTAGGGAATTCATAGGGTTTTTTAACTAACAGAACGTGTCATAATATAACACATCCAAGAGAATGTTTACCCCTATTATATTATACCTGAATTTATCTGATCAGATCAAACAAAACTTAAAAGAAAATATTCTTAAAATTTCTGGTTTTAAATTTGAAAGGTTTTGTTATTTCACCATATAAACCAAAAATATTAAAAATAAACATCAGTTTTTTATTAGTTATTTTAATCGTTTGTATTCTTTCGCGTGCGTTATAAAAAAGCAAACATACTGTGAAACTCAACGAATTAAATAATGGATACTCTTAAAAGAGGAAAAAGTAATATTAATTATATGTTTATTTACTGTTATTTACTTACTATTATTTACTGTTCAGTTTTCACAATGATATTATGCGAATTGGATAAATCTTATTCAATACATTTTTTTTTTATTTGAGTAAACATTGAACTTATTCTTTTTTTGGCTTTAATATCATAAATAGTATTTAATTTTATATTTCTTTTTCAGAGATGGTTTTGAAATATTTTTGTAAAGCTATTACCTTTGTAACAAAGAAAAAAAGTAATAAATATTAAAATTATACTAATAATTTAAAAATCATGATTCATAAAAAATGTTTAAAAGAAATTTCAGTTTATATATACTCTGTATATATATTTTTTTTTATCAACTATTACATATTTTTAAATATAGTTTTAAAACGTTTTAGTTTATTAAACATTGTCAAAGTAATGAAATGGCTTACGGATCTAAATAATTTTGTTTAGTGAACTATAAAAGAGAAATACTTTACGCAGTGAAAACTTTTTTTCTAAAATACTGTTACATAAAATTTTTATATTAAAATATTTAATGTATTTTAAGATAGATAATCCCTAAAATTATATTTAATAATGTAATCTAATTTTGTTTTAAAATGTAAAAAATCAACTATAATTGCTGTTATAAAATAACAGATACTTAGTTACTTTTCAAAATAATAATTAAAAATAATTATAAAATATTTAGTTAAAAATTTTATGTTTTAAACTTTGGTATCATGTGCTTAGGCAGTCATTCTAATGTTGAAATGTATGAAGATTCTCTCATTCGTAGTATTGATCAACTGGCCAATTTCACACAATATCATTCAGATAATTCATCAAAATCAAAAGTCCCAGAAAATATTGCTACTTTAGTAATGGATGGAGAATGTGGTAACCTAAAATGCTTTCCGTCTTTATTTCAAAATAATGATACAAATAATAATCACAGTAATCCAATTAACCAAAGTTTTACATTCTGTTTAAAAAAATCAGGTTAACTATCTTGCATAATTTTGAGGCTATTTGTTTGTATTATTACATAATAACATTTTACTTTTTTTTATTTAATGGTTAGTAATTATTAATTAGTATGAGTGAAGTAATAATATAAAACTAAATATAAAAAAAAAACACATCATAATAAAATTAATACCTTCTCAGCTTCACATTAAAGCTAAAACAGTATCTTATGCGCTTATCACAGTTAAAATGTGAGCAAACGGCCTCATATTCATATTAGTTCAGGACCGCGAAAACACAAGGGCCTCAAATATGAATGTCCTATCCATGTTTATAAGATCTATGGTCATAGCGTACCCTCCATAAAATTATATGTTCTACTTATTTTTTTTAAAAATACTTTTAAGGAGAAAAAAATTTATGATAAATCTCTCAAAAAATTTGTTTAAATTTCGTCTATGAGTTTATTGAGGGAAATTGTGCAGATATTGAAAATAGCATAATAAGAAGAGAAATAAAGTAAAATGTCAGAATTTTCAAAAGCCTAGAACTGGGAAAAATAAATTACTATAACCTATGCATTGATTTTACAATCAATAGTTTGAATAAACAATTTGTTGATCATAATATCAATAGTAATCATTTCGAGTCGTTCTTGAATCCCTCATGTAAAAATATAAAAAATTCGTAAGGCCTTTGTTAGATCAGCATAACCATGTTGGCGAGAACGCTTTGTCTTGTTACGTCGGTTTATCTGAACACGTTTCGAATGGGAAATCCCGTCATTTTAACACAAGCATTGATTTAATAAATAATAATACCGAATTAAAATATTAAAATGATATTTTAGGAAATAATAGTATTTTGAATGAGCAAATAGATTCAGTAAAACAGTATCAGCTGAAAGAAAATGAAAAGTTCGACAACAGCAAAACTGTAAGTAAAACTTCAATACATAAAAAAATAAATATACAGTGTCTTTAAGAACTCTTGAATAATTTATAGATGTTGAAAGAAACTCCTAATAGTGTTTAGGTGCCTTCTACGATGAAGACTTTAACAGCAAACATATATAATGGCGACAATAAAATATTAAAACGGAATACTGTCAAATCGTATTAAATGACAGAAGAACATATGCCTAGTTTTTCTTTTTATCTTGCCACCAGTCTGTAAGTTAATATTGAAATGTTTCTAGTGAGTTATCCTTCATTTTTTTTCATTTTTCAGCTAAAAACTTTAAAACTATTAAAATCATCCAAAAAAATCCACAAATAGAGTTAACAGCGATGGTAAAAAATTCAATCAGAAATCTATTTCAGAAGACAGAAGAAAGCATTTCTACTTTTTTTTTTATCCCACCACCACCCTATATCGGAATATTGAAATGTTGATTTTTCAATAGGCTCAACTAGATATAAAAACGTTAAAATCCAAGAAAACCTATGCAATGTCACATATGTAATATAAAAAAAGTATATATTTGTGTTACCTAAAACTAAAAACCAATTGTCTGTACTAAAAAAATGCATGTACAAAGAAGGCTCACAACTTTCTTGACTTGATAGATATTTTTTTTAGTTACAATTTTGTTACCTATAGGTGTAACTTTATTTTTTACACTTTTTAAAAAAGTGTAGATATAATCATAAAAGTTGGCAATAACAAAGTTTTTACTCATTATGTAGCAAAAAAAAAGTATAATGGAACAGTAATATGAAAATACATTCTTCTCATTGTGAGTGTCCTATGCGACTTAAAAAAGTCATATGTTTATACACCGCATTTATATAATAATAATAATTTGAGTATTTACTATTTACTAATTATTTTGCATATGTGCATTTTTTTATAACAAATTTTAATTATTTATTACTTATGGTTTTATTATTATAAATAAATAATTTAAATATTTGTTAATTTTCTTTTACAAATAATTATATCATAATACATTTATACATAATACATTTATAAATATAAATTATATAATATAATTTTAAAACACCATTTATTTTTTTCTAAAATTTTTTATTTTAAATCTTTTATAAACAAAGTTTTTCTTAAGTAATTTTTTTATCCTGCATTTTTTTTTTTTTTTTATGTATCTAGTATTACATATACAGTTGATAATTACAATCTATAATAAATAGCAATATTTACAGACAGAGATCAATTATACTTACTTAATGTCACATTACCTGACAGTGATTGAAATCACTATCATAAAAACGATTCGATACAAATATGTAGATAGTGTTTAATTTTTATAAGGAATTGTTGAATTATTCCAAAAGCAGCATAAACTCCTATTTCCTTAATTATATCCTGATTACAAGTTTTATGATTTATAAGCATAACACATGAATAATAATTATTATAATAATTAAATTTAGTATGAAATTGATAATGAAGAATTTAGTGTTGTAATTTTTCCGGAAAAATTATAAAAATTTTTAAAGTTGTTTAACACAGAGCAATTCTCTTAATATTGGCTATTCTACTTCTCTTAAAATAATAATTATACTAAGAAAATTCTTTTTGGTATTTTTGAATTTTATATATTTCTTGATTTACTAATTATTAAATTTTTATTAATTCATCCTTTATACTTTATAAGGGTGTCACTTTATTTTATAATGGCAAAATACATATTTAACTAGATTATAAAATAAAAATTAACTGGCATGAAAGAGTTGGGGGAACCTCAATAAGGCACTATAAAAAACCATGGAATTTGTAATTATACAAAAATAAAGATGATAAGTGGGGTGTGTGTATTGTGTATATGATTTGTCATACAGTAGAAAATAGAAAAGAAATAGTAATAATAGCAATTATACTATAGCGATTATACTATTATAGCAACCTACTAGATTGAAATATATTAAAATCTCTAATATCATGAATTATGATATAGTTCAGTACATGTTAAATTCAAATTTATACAATTTTTTGTTTAAAAATCAACGACCAAATTAATTAGTTAAAAGATAACAGAAGTCAATGAAACTACCATAACAGCATTGATGTTGATTAAATAATATCATATTTACTGTTATTTGGAAATTAAATTCAAAAATAGTAACACGATTTATTAAAAATGTTATTTTTCATCATATTCGCCATATATTTTAGTTTAACATGAAATATTATCTAACTTGTGTAATTTTTAACTATAGTTCAAATTATGTATACTGAAGTTTACTTAAAACAAGTAATATTTTAAAACTTCACGCGTATTTAGGTGTGTTAGTAGGTAATAATTAGCTGTTAGTATGATAATTTAAATAGTTATCAAAATTAAAAAATCATATTTTATGTAAATTTGTAATGATAAATAAATTGTATATTATGAATACAATTTTAAGTGATTGTGTTTAAAAATCTCAAAATTTAATACAATTATCTAAATATCTTAATATCATAAAAATAGTAAAATATAAGTTGTTATGCGATACCCGTATTGAAATACTGATGTTTATTATCAAGTATATATTAGCTTGTTATTAAATTCGCGAAGATTATTTTTGTATATTCTATTACTATTACCTTGAAAACAATTATTTTGTTTAATTGATTTTATTGTTAACAATATTAAAAGAATGAAGAGGAATAGTTTATTTGGTTGGTTAGCAAGATATTTGACGTGCTATATTTCAAAGAAAAAGAAGTGGTCTCTTAGCTCAATCTTGTCCAGGTAATTATTAAATTAAATTTAGCATATGACGATTGTTTAATATATATTTATAGGTAGCTAATTGGTTTTTTATGACATCGATATTAGCAAGTAAATAGCATTGTTATCACTATCAATGGTAGCAAGGCACATTGTTATGAGCTTATAAATACACTAACTGACAATACAGAAAGTATACCTATTGATAATCATAATTGATAATAAACAATCCGTGAATGTGACTGCAATGTCATAAAAATCCAATTAGCTATCTATTTTTATAATCCCTTGAGTATTATACATGTATATTAACTCAAAAATTTAAAACTTTAAATGTTTATATCTAATAAACTAATAAAGTTATATTAAAAATTCAAATGTCATTTACTATTGAATTCAAAATCCAAACGTTTTATTATATTCAAAGTATGTGTTCCCATTTAAAAAACAAAGTTGACACCCTAATAAGGCATAAGGGATGAACATAAAATGTTTTAAATGGTTAATAGTTAAAGAATAATGTGCAACTAAAGAAAACCAAAAAAAAATGTTTAAATTATATTTATTCTGCAAATAAATAAGTCGGTTATGATAAAAAAATTACCCTGAATACCTAAAGCATTTATATAAAAAAATTATTTTGGTACTTTCATTTTTCAAAAAGCTTTAAGTACTAAAAAAAAAAATACATAACAATAGAAGGTGATATTTTACACGAAATTAAAATTATTTGTTCAACTACGGAAGTTATTTGAACAAAGAAATTAAGTCATCAGGACAATGTTTTTTTTAACTTATAGTACGTAACAAAAGCATTTATTTAAGATATATTATATCTTTTAAAAAAAATTGAAAAAAAAAATTATTTTTGATTATCAATATTGCTGTGTTCGGGGTAGTAAATATAATAATAATGACAACAATAATAACAATAATAATAAGTAGTAAACCAATAGCGTTTTTTATTAGTCACTACAACAATAATCTTAATTATACAATAATTAAATAAAGTTATCTTTTGTTCCTCATAAAAGGTCAACGTGACAGATCGAAAAATGTTGTCCAGCACCGAGCGACCGGTTCTCACCGCCCGTCGGTCACCGCAAATAGCGCGACCTGTCGGACGTGAAGAGGAAGCGCCGCGATCGCCATCCGGTGGTAACACCGGAAATGAGTAGCGACCGTGACAATATGTTAAAAATAATTCGTGCAAAATGTCATTTTTAATCTTTTTTTTGGTCTTTTGGTTGATTTTTATGAAAGTTCATAATAAAATAATGTTGAAAATTTCACCATTATTTTATTTTAGCTGAACTTTCCAGTTTAAAATCCACATTATAAAACGGAAAATTGTATAATTACTATTTGCAGTAAATTTATGAGTAAAGCTCAATATTATGTTAAAATCACTATTTTTTTACATTTTTATCATAATAAATAAATCATATAAATAAAGTCTTAGTAATCATTTCTATGTAACTCTTGGCGTTAAAAATATTCTAAAATTGAAATATTCCGAACTTAATTAAATTTAATGATTTACTTTCATTAGTAAAAACGAGAGCACAGTGAGTTTGAGTCACAATATGGACGTAGGATAGTTGGAATAAATATTGATGATATCTGACTGTGATTTTAATTATTAACAGAAGAAACGCTTCAATATTAATCTATAGATAGTGTTCAATTCTAAGAAATTGGTGCATAATTAAAAAAGCAACATCAACTCCTATTTCCTTAATTATTTCCTGATTAGTAGTTCTTAGATTTAAAAATATAATTTATGAATAATATTTTTTGTAGCAATTAAATATAGTATGAAATTATTATAGATTGGTAGTAACACACACAAATAAAGTTATAAAATTAATTAATTACAAAAGTAAAATTATTTAATTTTGTAGTTAAACCTATTATCACATCAAACCTAAATCGAAAATAAATACTTTAAAAACATTTGAAATGAGTGATCTTAATTGTCTATATGGAGACATTTTGTTAATTTACTTTTAATTTGATAAAAAGGAAATATTTTTCAATTTTTGAGAATAATATCTTTAACTAGATACTAGTTGTGATCATTTGATGTTTCGTTAAAAAAAATTGAGAGTTAAGAAAAATTAATGACACACAAAAAAAATTCACGTAGTAAAATAATTTTAATGAGATTATTAAGATATTCCTTCGCTCAGGGAAGACTATCCTCACGGGGTCCTTGATATTTATTAGATTTATTTAATCTAAACGAGATAAAAATCAAATGAATTTTGAATTTTTTATCACCTCAAATGGAATTAATTCGATGGCGCGAGTTTCGAACTTCGTACCCCTGAGATACTGTAGTGTTACTGACACAAGTACCGTACATCGCCTTTATTGAAAGCTAAAAGAACAATTTAAGCTAATTCAAAAATTCAAAGTCGTTTTTTTAACTCGGAGGTGGCAAAATATTAAAAAAAATACATTCAATTCTGCAACTTAGCTAATCGAAAACACGACCATTTGTTTCCTTTCTAAAATTATTTCCGATGAAATAGATTCCTCTTTTTACTCTCGAAGTTAAGTTTCCGTGTTCCTGCTCAACATACTCGATGAACTCCTCCTCTTTTTATTCCTTTCTTAACTTCAAATTATTTTCTATATTCCATTATTTTACGTTTAATGCGCATTGTACATTGTACTTCTGATTTCAATCACTCTTCGTACATTTTGCATTTTTGACGTCATTTAGTCAATTTGTAATATTAATTGTTAATATTTACTTGGGTCAACACCCGTTTTATGTACAAGATAAATAAATAAATAAAATAAATGTAAATATATATTCAATGTAAGTTAGATTTATGAAAATCGATGGCAAACCCTTATAAGATATAGTAATATATACTATATATATATCCAGTGGCGGATCCACGGGGGGGGTTTTCGGGTCCGGACCCCCCACATGGGAATAATGTTTTTACATTTCATGCTAAAATTCTAGATGACTCAAGCTAAAAAAAATTTTTTCTTCCAAATTCAATTTATTTCATAATAAAAATAATTGTTAGTATTGTAATTCAAAATTTCGAGTGATTATAAAATATTTTTTTGAAAAATCGATAGATGATGAAGGATGTAACATGTTTTTTCAAGCACTCTTAAATTTTCGAGGTTTTTCGAAAAATTTTCTGAGAATTTCCTCTTCAGTTATATTAATGTGATGGTGGATGTTCAAAGACGCAAGGCCGTTGAGACGCTCCTGTACCATCGTGTTT